AAGTCTCTGGATGTTGTTGGGCTGTCTTGGTTGACACGCCTCTGCAACGTCGCATGGCGGTCGGGGACAGTGCCTCTGGACTGGCAGACCAGGGTGGTGGTCCCTCTTTTTAAGAAGGGGGACCGGAGGGTGTGTTCCAACTATAGGGGGATCACACTCCTCAGCCTCCCCGGGAAAGTCTATGTCAGGGTACTGGAGAGGAGAATTCGAACGATAGTCGAACCTCGGATTCAGGAGGAACAATGCGGTTTTTGTCCTGGCCACGGAACACTGGACCAGCTCTATACCCTCTTCAGGGTGGCAGAGGGTTCATGGGAGTTTGCCCAACCAGTCCACATGTGTTTCATGAATTTGGAGAAGGCATTCGATAGTGTCCCTCGCAGCGCCCTGTGGGGGGTGCTCCGGGAGTATGGGGTCCAGGATTGAGGAGCTTGGTTCGCATTGCCGGCAGTAAGTCAGACTTGTTTCCAGTGCATGTTGGACTCCGGCAGGGCTGCCCTTTGTCACCAGTTCTGTTCATTATCTTTATAGACAGAATTTCTAGGTGCAGCCAGGGGCCGGAGGGAGTCCGGTTTGGGGACCACAGGATCTCGTCTCTGCTTTTTGCAGATGACGTTGTCCTGTTGGCTTCATCAAACCAGGACCTCCAGAGTGCACTGGGGCGGTTTGCAGCCGAGTGTGAAGCGGCTGGGGTGAGAATCAGCAACCCCAAACCCGAGGCCCAGGTGGTGCAGCTTCTGCAGTAATGCAGTCGATATAGCGGTCCATCGTGGTGAAGAAGGAGCTGAGCTGTAAGGCGAAGCTCTTGATTTACTGGTCGATCTACATTCTGACTCTCACCTATGGTCATGAGCTTTGGGTCATGACTGAAAGGGCAAGATCCCGGATACAGGCGGCCGAAATGAGCTTCCTCCACAGGGTGGCTAGGCGCACCCTTAGAGATAGGGTGAGGAGCTCGGTCACCTGGGAGGAGCTCAGAGTAGAACCGCTGCTCCTCCACATTGAGAGGAGCCAGCTGAGGTGGCTCGGGCATCTGTTTCGGATGCCTCCTGGCCGACTTCCTAGGGAGGTGTTCCAGGCATGTCCCACCGGGAGGAGGACATGCAGTAGGGACTATGTCTCTCAGCTGGCCTTGGAACGCCTCAGCATTCCCCCGGAGGAGCTGGAGGAAGTGTCTGGAGAGAGGGATGTCTGGGCATCTTTGCTTAGACTGCTGCCCCCGTGACCCGGTTCCGGATAAGCGGAGGAAAATGGATGGATGGATGGACATTGCAGTGGGTTTGTCCAGCTTTGAGATAGAGTCAATCCTGGTGCTCTCATGTTTGCTGACGATACACAGGTGTAAAGTAGTATTCTGTGCCAGTCACTACAAAGTATTTAACAATAAAAATACAGAAATATTTCTAAAAAAGTTCATATTTTTTACATTTTTAATATTATAGTGTAATAAGTCACCATATCATGATCCTGTAAATAATACAGATATTACTGTTACAACAAACCTTAATCGAAAAAAAAGCATTCAAAAAAATTAATTGTTCCATTCCTGCAACATTAATGTTAAAATGTTTATAGCTTTTTAGTAAGTAAGACATCAACTGCTGAATTATAGTTTCAGAACCTTTTCAAAAGCTTGTTTACAAGAAAAGGAACTGTGTCAAAATAAAATATTAAAAGACTCAAATCAACAATCAAACACACAAAGTAGATAGTTCAATACTAGAAGTACCTGTTTCAATTATGCATGTGATACTTTGTTTTGAAAATTTATATAGATTTTCTTGAAATAACATAGAAGACATAAAGGGATCCCTAATAAAAACACACACAAACAGAAATAAAAAAGCACAAGAAAGGAAGAAAAAACAAGAAAGCATGTGTGCTACTCACAGTAAAGTATTCCAAATCAAATTAAATTAAATAATTAAAGTAAGTAATTACAGTAAAACTGTAATTATAAGCAACGATGTATTGTTTTTGAACTCTAAATTCTTAATCACAGAATAATGAATGCCATATTAAACTTCAAAATTTTACCAAGACAATGTGTATTGTCTTCTTTTCTTTTTGCATTGCATTAACTACACATGCCTGTTGACTAAGTGTCTTTCACTCTGAATCTATTTTAATTTAGCAAGTGCATGTAATGCATTTTAAAAAATATATTTATCACCTGACCTTGGGATATTTTATTTCTTTCTACCCCGACATACTGCATAATGTAGAACATGACTATTCCTTCATGACCTGACATTCTTAAAGAAAAAAAGAAAAGAGAGAAGACGTTGCGCTTTCGTCAACTCTCCCTTTCATGTCTCCACACCTGGCTACAGTATCTCTCTGCCCTGCATCACCACATCAAATACATGCTCTCAGGCAAACTCACATCCATTTTATCCCCGAGGGGCCAGTGACTCAGCCAAATAGAACATCTGCCTTGCTGTTTTCACTATGATACACATGTATCCCTGCCCCTGTCGCTCATCTGTCATCAACCTGCAGCCAAGACGTAAGGTGGCATGACTACTTTTTACAGTAAAAGGGTGGAGAGACATTTATTTCCCTCTTCATACCACTGTTTACATGTATGATTCAAGGCTACAGTGGGGTTATTGATGCGATGGTGAGGTCCATGACCCAGAAGGTACAATTGAACTGCTGTGAAAAGGTGTGTGTATGTGTGGGCGCTCATACTGTACTATCTCAAACCTCTCTTTTCTCTTAAAAAAAAAAGAGTAGAAATATTTTTACCTGTACTCAAGTCATGGCTGCACATCTTCCAGTGTTACTTAGTGTTGACTGGACATACAGTATGTACTGTAAGCATCTTTTGATTTTAATAATCATGAATTAATTGACCAATTGCTTAAAGAAAGGTATTGTCATTTTTCAGCCTAGAACTAACTAAAGTAACTAGAATTACTTCAGGTTTACAGGAATTGGAAGTCACAGTGACCTTTGACCACCAAAATATAATCAGTTCATCCAGTAGCATAACATAACTGTAATGGGCACTGGTACAAAGTTTTTTCTGTGCCCCATCCCCGTCCCAAATACACACGCATACTCCTGTGCACACACATGCATGGACACACACAACCACTCCAGACAATTGCATGGAGACATAGGTGCACATTTTACAACGTAGATTTAAATGCATGATTCCACTTCATAAGAAAGAGAACCAGGTACTCACCCATTAGACGGTCATCCAACAGGCCTTGCACTCAGCAAAGACATTAATAGCACTACAGAAATTCAGATTCAGAATTCAGCCAATTTTTGTTTGGGCTCTCTAAAAATTATGCTGCTAACTATTTGCTGAAGAACACTCACTTCTTGATGAAAAGTTGAACCGCTGAGAAAATAACTGATGTCATGATGTCCACACAGATAACAGGGAGCAAGGTCACCGGACAAATAAATTAGCATTTCTTCTTTCGTAACTTTTGAGAAGAAAGCAACCAAATTAAATAAGAACTGCATGTTTTATTAAAAAATAACCTTACTTTAAATAAAATGCACAGTTTAGGAACATTAAATAAGGACAATTAAAAAAAAGAATAATAAAAACAGGCTATGATTCAAAACCATAACTATTATACACAAGGTGAAAACATGATATAAATGTCCATCACAACCACCTGTTTAGGTCTTATTGAAAAGTCAGTTTGACAATTGCATAATAAAGTAAATAAGCATGGAGGGCCTCCTGCAACTTGTATAATCAAAGCAGCCATCGAAACTCTTCCCACATGATCCCTCAAGACACTGCACTGGCTGCACCGGCGATAATTACGCCAGTGCTCGAGTCCAAGTGGGCATTTGTGCCAAATTATGTCTAGAGATATCGCATTCACATGAACAACATGGACAGACAACCCCTGCCACAGCTGTGGCTAGTGTGGAGTATGAAACACTAACTTAATCTGCACTACGGTACTGTAAACTACACACTTTAGTATGTCTTAATGTCTTAACTAGCCTACTATTTACAGTGGTAGGATGGTTTTATTTTCAAGGCCAAGGAGCACAACTAACTATTAGTTTGAAAGGTACAGAAACAGGTTATGAAGCAATATTTCCCCACTGTGTGGAAAACAGTTTTAGATGCTAGCAGATTTTAGACTAATATTAGCGGCAATGTCCTGCTCTTTTTTAGACAGGAACGTTTAGACTCCAACAGCCTCTATCTCAGACAGCTTTATGTTTACCAGACTCATGGGTTAGTTCTTATACTAAAAGTCTTTGTAAAGTTAAAACATACTATATGAAATTACAGGTTACAATAGGGTTATGTCGGAACAAAATAACAGTCTGATCTTGTATTTCTCTTTATGATACTTAATGAGCTATCTTGCTACATCTGATTAAATCTGTTAGCACCCGCTGTCATTTCAAACATCAAAATCAATGGTGACTGGCTAAATATCAGAAACCTACTTTTGTCTACCCCTGGGTGAAAATAATAACCCACTCTTTCAGAAGTGACTAAGAATTTTCATGAAAACTTATTGTAAAATCCATGTGTGTGAGAAAGGAAGCTGGACAATACAATACCCACAATTTTGCTGGGTAGAACTGGTTTCACATTCCTCTCTGCCTTGTGTGTGTGTGTGCAGACGTACTGTGTGAAGATGCAAAAATGCTGCAGAGCTAAATATTGTGAGTTGTGTGTGTGTGAGAGATTCATCACCTCAGACTCATTACAGCAAAACACATCAGAGACTCTGTAGAAAGCTGGATCCAAGTCAGGAATGGCCGGTGCTGGGTTGAATATAGTCTTTACTGTAAAAAGAAATCAGGTTGTAATCCATTTTATTGACCACAATGTCAAACATCATCATCTACAGGTCAGTGGGGATAGCATGCAGTCATTAACAATAGATACAAAATATATAATTGTTCTCAATAATGCACCCAATTATAGCTGTCAACTTGCTTTTAAGAGGATACAGCTCTGACAGTGTCCCTCATTGGCACACTTTACAATTATGTGATATTTCTTTTCCATTTGCTAAGCTTTACTGTCAAGGGCTGGCATTACCTTAATTAAACTTTCACTGGGAACAAAGGCTAGTGGGCTACTGCTGGGGTTTGCTCTTGCAGGCAAAGCTCAAGTGGAAAAGCTTCTATTAAAAAAATCACCTTTCAAATGATTAAATTAGCATTCCCTGGGGAGGGAAAAACAGTAGTTTTCTGTGGGGCACTGTAACCCCTGCAGTTACAGGACTGTATGTGTAGTAGTATATACCCCTAAATATGTGGGTGAGATGTGTCATGACCCTTTGTGTGTGTATTTAGGAGTGCGAGAGAGGGAGAAAGCAAGACACCAAGAGCGTTTGTCAGAAGTAATCCTCTGTATGTTTTGTACATCACTGTCTTATGCATATTCAGGAGCAGAGAGCATTAATGCATCTAGTACCATGATTTCTGTGTATGTGTGAGGGTAAGCCCAGCTTGACAAAGTGATTAATTCTCATATCTCTGTGAACAACATAAAGCCTCCTGCAAGCATGTGTATGTCTGTGTGTGTGAGGGAAATATATGTTCGGCATTGGTGACATCAAAGTCTGTTTTGCAAATGTGTGTGCTTAGTTGCTCTGTGTGCGTTTGCGTGGGTGCATAGCAGAGCAGCTGCGTGGGTTTGTGCGGGGCTTTGGCCACCTGGCGCTTTTGAGGTGGAAGCTGGGCTGCTCGTGAGAAAAAGTGGAAATAATTCCTCTCTCTTTTTTAGCACACACACTCATACTCTACTGTACTGTATGTATCTCCACAAGAGCAAAGTCCTGGTCATGAGAAAGTGGCACTGAGCTCTTTCTGACCCTTCTTCTCTCTGTGTGTGTGTTAAAGTAATGGAAACTGAAGGGCAATTAAGTTGATTTTCAAGACAAGTGGGTCATCTCTGAAATCTGATGCCTCAGTTTTGCATAAAAGGACGCGTCTTTGTGTTTCCCCTTGCCTTTCTTCAGTCTTCTATATCTTTTTAACATGATCTCTTTCACTGAAAATGCTAAAACACCTCCATCTTTCTCATTTCTTTCTTTCAAAGATCAAAGATTTTTATTGTCAATTCACTATATGTGCAGGACAAATCGAAATACTGTTTCTCTCTCACCTAACATTGAATGCCCATACCGTTTAAGAAACTAAAATAGAACAAAAGTAGAATAATCACAGAATAAACAAAATATGAAAACTGAATTCAAACAAGTAAAGTAAAGCATTTACCATGGTGTGATGTAGCTCTTCCTTTTCACAACACTTAAAAGATGTTTAGGGACTGAGGGGTTAGTTTGTTTTGATTTTCACTCATTCTCTAAAGGTTGAGGGTTTGAGGGTTAGTTAAAGGGGCTTTAATATGTTCAACTACACAGAGACCTATAGCATGACTTTTCTGCTTACTCTGCCTGACAGCATATGAAGAACATACTTTTTCTTTTTCCATTTTTTTCTCCTTTATGTTAATGTAACCAATAAATAACCTTGAATCTCAATGGATGCATCTCACACTAAAAATAATGTTTATTCCTACCACTCACTTTTACAGCTCTCTTCCACTCAGAGGAAGACCAATCAGCAGCCTTCCTCCTCTCCCTTGTCATATTTTTCAGGTGTCCTTCAGAAGCTCACATGCATATAAAATGTGATGGCAATTAAGCACAGCAATGAGGGACATGGCTAAAGCCTGGGTTGATTATGGACACTTGATTATGCTGTTAAGTGGAGTAAATGTCATAACATACTGTATGTGCAGGACTTCAGTGGCATTAACACAGTCATCAGCTATACCATCAAGTGAAGAACTAACCACATATTGTTTTCCATGTACACAGGATAAATAAGTGCCACTGAATCATGTAAAAGGCTAACTCATGCTGTGGTTTCAAACTACTGTCACTAATCATATTATTATTTGTAGTCATGGATGGAACTCATATCAAGAATGTTGTTGTCTTTCACTATCTGCTCCCTTGGCCACCATCTGTGGTGTGACCACGGTGTTTGCGTCAAGCATGTCTCTTCGGTGCTGATGTCAAATGCACATGCTCACGAAGTATACATGCAATAGGACTGCTGAGGATGGAAGCTTATCAATATGCACACAAGAGCAGCTTGTGCAAAATCCCTAATACATGGATGCATCAAGGAATCTGCCTCTCTGATGCAAGGAGCTGCTATTCTAGACGTCACATAAACCAGTGTGTCGGTTTCAGGTTGCTTTGGTTGCTCTCCAGGTGTTAGTGAAACTACACTTACACACACACATGCTCACAGCTGCTGGGACAGATGTGGTAATACTGGGATGTGTCCATACTGAGTCATGTCTGGCAGGAGAGCATGTGTGTGCATGTGTCATGACTCTGGACTTTTTTCTCTCCTTAGATGTTCAAAGTCTGGTTGCGCTTGTGTAGCCAGAATAGAGCAGAAAGTACAAAGATACAGCAGTTTGTTCCTGTGGTCACTTAAGGAAAGGGGGATGAAAAACAAAGGGAGAGGGAAAACAGAGTAAGACAGGGATCACTCACACTCTTAGATGCATGCACACACACACACACACACACACACACACACACACACACACACACAAAAGGAATGAGTCATCAGTGAGTATGTAAAAGGGCTTTAAGAGGCTCTAATTGCATCTGGTGAGAAATAGAAAAGTGGCTGCTTGCTCAGACAAGAAAGATGGGGAGAAAGACGGAAGAAGAAAGCATGAAACGACAAACTTCTACCATTTCATCAATTCCTAGAATTAATTTAATTCCATTAACTTCTCTATATTAAATGGTAGGTGGTAAAAAAAATGTGTCTCTTCTCCTGAAATGATTACACAGAAGGAGAATAAACTTGATAGGTTATCTCGACAAGTGTTTCTGAGAACTGCCATCCACAGTACGTGTGGCGTGATGGTGACATTTGCGTAATTTGAGCGGCGCTTCACCCCCGCGTCATTAAATCCTCGCTGCCAAACCCATTAACAACCATTCTCTCCAGAGAATTCCATTTACGCAATGCTCTTGTGTGGCAGTGTTGAGGTGACATCTTTGCCAAGCATCTTTCCTCGCCTTGCCTCTCTCCTGGCGCCACATGCCAAGCCTAATCCTGTGGTACAGTCGGCATGGTGAGAAAAGGGGCTTGGAAAGAGAGGGTGGTGCTCTGTGAGGCCATCTGGGTATCCCATCTGCAACATGGTTATGGCTGCAAATCTTTGGTTCTGGCATCCTGCAGCGAGCGATTAATGGCGACAGGCCCTGATGACAGTGGCGAGAGGCTCCCCAGTCGTCTCAAATGACGCGCAGGGCTTCTAATAATAGAATGCTGTTAAAGATTATTAGATCACTAAACAGGTTATCAAAAAGGTGCAGGAAGGAAAGGACAGAAGGCGGGTGAAGGTCTCAGTTTATGCAGGACTGCAAGGACCTGTTAGCCTTTAGAAACGTGGCTGGTGTTTGGTGTAGAATATGAGCAGCAGGGGCCCAACATTTTCATGAAAACAATACATTTGACCAATTCTCACACTTAACTTGAAAAAGTGATATGAATCAGTGGGAAGCCCCTCTATAAAGAGTGTAGGAAAGCATAAATCTGAAATGCAAACAGAAAAGTCAGCTGACTGATTTTTCTATCATACAAAATGGCAATGGTTCAAGAAAAGACAGACTGATAAATAAACAGACAAGCTCTTGATGTTCAAGTATCTGAATGGTTTCAGAAAGCTACATTTAATGCGAGACTATATGTATAAACTCTGCTGAACAGCTAGCTGCCACTGTAGCCACAAGTGGCAGTTACTAGATTCTCTTAAGTCAATCACTTTAACATCACCATTAGTGCTGAATGTTTATCTGTGGCAATATGAAACAAAGTGTAAAAGTAGCTCAAGTGGAAAAGAGTCACACAACTTGCTCAGTAAAGTCAGTTATACATCAGCATATTGTACATCTAAAGTTCACTAACACTAGCTATCATTAGCCACTGTTTAGACTTACTAGTGAGGCTGTAGTGGTAAAAATGAAGTGTACTGTATGTTTCTAATGTTGCCTGGAACTACATTTAAAGTAGGTTATTCCAACTACAATGTAGCTTTTGATCATGAAACACTCAATTCTTGTTAAATGTATAAAAATCTAAAAAGAAACCTTCTCTTCTTCTTCTTCCAAAAAAAAAAACAACAGTGGCTGTGATCTGCCTCATTTGACACAGCCTAGTTTACTATATTAAAAATGTATACCAAATTCCCTAAATATTGCTGACTACACTGCTTTCATCTTAGATATCTTGTTTCAAGCTGTTCCATAGTGTAGCCTGCATATTTGCCTTCTTCCTGTTTGTTGAGCATAAATTCCTAATGTAGTTTCCTGACTGGCTACCAGGCACATTACTCTGGAGCTGCTCTCCAAACAAAAACACCAGAGTGAGGGCAGCTACAGTAGTTATTACTAACTGTTAGTATTACTAACAGACCCATACTAAACTCGTATTCAGCCATACATGCTTAGCTATGTTGTACAGTATGAGTGGGTTCAAACAGCACAGCTCAACTGGTAAAAGAGGAGCAGGTTCAAAAGGAGCGTGCACAAGGATTAAGCCTGAAACAGTGCATATAGTCGTATTCTGGCAATAATATCAGGGTTTAGAACATACCGAGCACACAGATGGCCAGCAAAGAAGTGGATTATATTGTAGATATGGCTTGAGAAGTTTCTATGGACAATCTGATACTATTTAGACACATTTTCTTTCTACATCACTAGCCGTCCCTGGTAGGCTAGTGGTTAAGGCGCAGCGCTCTTGCTGCTGTGCCGAATCAGGATTGCATTAGGAAGGGCATCTGGTGTAAAACACGTGCCAAATGTCAACATGCGAGTCGTCAGTGTGATGATTCGCTGTGGTGACCCCTAAACGGGAAAAGCCGAAAGTGACTTTCTTTTTCTTCCTACATCACTCCTGGGATCCTTTCTAGCATCCTGGAGCCACTGACCACACAGGCTGTTCTCCCAGGAACTTTATAGCCACCTTTCATGTCAACACAGGATGAAAAGTTCTAAAGATTTTAAGCTTATATCACCTGAGAGGTAGAATGTGATCCAAATGTAAACAAAGGTGTACCGCCACCACCCAGACTCAAAACTCAGTTTTAATCTATCACACTCAAAGTGTTTGACAGGTTTTTCAAAAAACAAACTAACAGAAAATCAAGCTTATTTAACAGATGAAGATCTACAGTATATTTAACTTATGATCGGTTTATCATCAAACCAAAATTACTCTTGATCAAAATAACTCTTTTTTTTTTACACTATACAGTATGTTAAAAAATACATGCAATTCTGATGGTTAAACAAATACCTTACTGAGCCTTTAAAGACTAAAGTAGCCACATTTGGGGAAAATAAACAGTTGATGCAAATGTAACTACCTGTATTATATAAGAATGGCATTATCATATTTTGTCAAGAAGTTTCTGACTTCAGAAGGACCCGCATATGTGCTGCAGACACTCACTGACCTTTGTTCTCCTGAGCCATGTGTAGTGCCTGCAGGGATGTCTGGGGATTGATCTCCAGTTGGCACACCAGTACTTTTGCATGGCTGATGGCTGGAAGAGCTTTCTGTAGCTCCTTGCTGCTCAACAGCATGTTGGCACCTGCCACGATCACAATGGCGTTCTCACCTGACCGTGGACACCAAAAGAGACGTGAAGAAACACCAGCCATGTGCAATCACTGCAAGGCTCCATGGGAACTCTCAAACTGTGGCGGCTCACTGTAGATTTCATTTTGACAAACTTTGGCTGTGTACAAATACTCTCTTACAAGTAAGAGTCCTGCATTGAAAATATTATTTAAATACAAGCACAAAAGTATTAGCATCAAAATATAAAGTACCAAAGGTAGAAGCACTCATGATGCAGAAAGGCATATTTCACATTAATGTACATCACATTTAATGTTAACTACCTTATAAATTTAATATTTGAATTACTGCTGGTTAGGCTGCAAATTTCCTACCAAGGATCAATAACATGTTATGTTTATAGTATATTGTAGTTTATTAATTTGATTCTGAAAAGCAACTAGTAACTAAAATTATCAAATAAAAGGAGTGAAGTAAAAAGTACAATATTTCCCTCTAAAAATAGTAAAGGCCAAGTATGAAGTAGCAGAAAATTTAAATATTCAAGCAAAGTACAGCGACCTGCCCAGGGTGTACCCCGCCTCATACCCTCTTCAGGATAAGCAGTATAGATGATGGATTGAAGTAAAGCACAGATACCTCAAAATTGTACATAAGTACAGTATTTGAGTAAATGTACTTAGTTAAGTTCCACCTGTGCTCAAGACATGTACTGAAAAGTTGCAAATAATTTTCAATTTTGGGGAGGCCACAGTGGTGAAGTGGGTAGTGCAGTTGTCTCCCAACCGGGAGGTTGGAGGTTTGAATCTCGGTGCCTGCAGTCCACATGTCAAAGTGTCCTGGGGCAAGACACTGAACCCCCCATTGCCCCCCATTAGTTAGAGTTGGCGCCGTAGATGGCTGCCTCGGTTCTGTACTGGAAACAAATTCCTTCTGTGTAAAATACTTGGCCAATAAAGGTGATTATCCTTATAAATGTGATGCATATGAAATGACATTCAGGTGCTTCCTGAAATACCTTTAAGCATACATTCAATTAGTCATTGTAACCTTGAAAATACTTCAAATTAAACCCAATTTTAAACACAATCCTAATGTTTTTATATGTCTCTCAGTTATGGTTTGGATTGTTTCTCCTCCTAAATATTGCTTTTAATCAATGATCTCAGAAGCTAGTCACATTTGATTTATTTGACCTTTGCACACAATAAAAAAATAGCTTGTGCATATAGTTCCATGGGTCATTATTTGTGTATTGCAGTCTCACATTTAACCACTTTAAACCTTCTTCTTTCAGACAGTGATTTTAAACAATTAACTGCACGTTAACTGTATAATGAGGAATGAGGATGTATTTTGCTGACTATGTTAAATAGGGGATCCAGACGTCATGGATGTTTTACATCACCTGACTGTATTCACTCTATGAAAAAGCTCTCTGTGTGGAAAGGCCTGGACTGTTGTAAAACAGAGCCTGTGGATTCTCAGCATGGTTTGGGGCACTTAAGCATTTGTGTATGTGTGTGCATCTGTTGATTACAGCCACTTCAGCAGTGGTGAGTCAAGGGCAATACAGAATGCATGGGTGTACAGTGTGTGCATGTGTGCGTAGCAGTGAGAAAGACTGTGCACGAGACCAACTCAAAGCTTTTAGGATCTCAGCAGGGTGGTATAGGCTAGTAGCAAAAGTATTTACCTGCACTGTTGACAAAGATGGAGGCAGCTCCTGTGGCTGAGTCAGAGCTCTGTTCTACAAAATCTGAGACAGAGAAGAAAGATTAAGAGTACAAAACACAATTTGAAAGCATCCTGCAAAAACAAATCTGTTAGCTTTCTGTCTTGACAGTGTAACTAAAAAAGCCAGCATTCATCAAACACACCACTGAAAACCAAAGGGTCAGGATAACAACCACTACTAATTCCTCGGAGTGCCTTTAGCTCAGGTCACTCTTGTTTGACACTGAGTGTATCCAAAATGCTTGAGAGACTAAAAAGAATCGACAAAACACGGGCTTAAAAAAAAAGAAGAAGAATAAAACAACATACTGCTCTGAATGTGAACTTTTTGCCATGCACCGTGGAAATGGGAACAAATTTAGCATGTAAGGTTAAAAAAAAAATTCTATCTTACCTGTGTGTACAACATTGTCCTTGAAATTCTGGATGTAATTGTCTCCAAAGAAGTCTTTACCAACCTAGAGCACATTGAAGGCAAAACGATTAAAACAAAAAGAGTGTCAAGCGAGGTCAGACTTGGTTAGCAGCAACTTCTGAAAAGTGGTATAGTCAAATCTCAGTTGGCTTGGATTTTCGTGTGCCCTGCCAACATACTGGCATGGTGCCGCTGCCGCCGAAAATGTGCAAAAAGGAACACAGTCAACAAACACACATATGTAAACACACGACCAGCTGCGCCAAGCCTTGAAGACACAATAACCCCGCCTTCACGCCTCTTCAGGCCTACCTCGCTTTCGTTTTCTTTCCCTCCTTTCCCTGTTCCCCTCATCCGCACTGGGATGTCCACATCTGTAGCTACTTTGGGTTGTGGAAGGGGTCCCCACCTTGCCCTGAGGCACCTACTTCGAACCCACGCTTTCCATGAAATGTGCCAAAACGGGGGCACTTCTATTTGCCTGTGATAGTGGGTTGGGCTGGTATTGGCTGCTTGGTCCCGTTCTCTTTGAAAGGAGGCCTTCCATCTTGGATGTTTCTGACAAGCCCGGTTGTCTATTTTTGGGTTCTCCCCATGCCTGGAGAGCTCCTCCCGCACTGGGTTGTTATCGATCGGGCCTCTTTGTTCTGAGAGGTAGGGCTTTGGTGCTTTAGTGAAGAGTTGAAAGGCCACACTGAGCTTACTGACTGGAGACTCAGGGTTATATGGGATGGGAATAGAGTTGTTTGAAGGCGTGTAAGCGTGGGTGGGCATATGCATGCGGTATGGTATTGATCAAGAGAAAATGAAGCATGGTGAAATGACTAAAGTGTGAATGAAGCTATAAGGATTTAGGAATTTGTTAACTAGCTGGTGGACTATGGTAGCTGATGGCTGATTATATGTATTGAGTAAAATGTGGATGTGCCAAAGGTTGCACAAGCTAAAGTATCTCTTTTTCTACAGACGTGCACATATTCATGCTGGGATCCAAACTAACCCACACTGAATCACACACTCATACAGCACAGGAGCAGTGTGTGCCTGCAAACTTGATCGTGGTGTCATACCTTGCAGACCATAGCAGTTTTGGCTCCTAGTCTGGCAGCCTGTATGCACTGGTTGGCCCCTTTTCCTCCAAAACCGATGAAGAACTTGTGACCATGGATGGTTTCCCCTGCTTTAGGTAGCCTTGGTGCTTGGCTGAGGGGGTAAAAAATACAGTAAGTGCAATTTTATATTGTAAGCATTCACGATTAGAACCTGATTTCATTAAGAGAACAAAAACAAAAGACCTCTCTTCTTAAGAAAGGCTTTGTTTGGATTTTGAATTTTAATTTGCTCAGACTTTTCATACTGCAGAGAAAAGCTTGAAAGTTTTTCATCAAACTTTGCACTGTGAGTGTTCTACACTGAAGGAGCAGTAAAAAGGGATATGTCATAATGTGAAGATAACCTTTCGGGGTCAAATTCTTCTCTGTTTAAGCTATTTATTTATTACTGAAAAAGCACAAAACCAAGAGGTTACTGTGAGGTTACACACACACACACACACACACACATATATATATGTATATACAGTATATCGTGACCCTTGAGATGCTTGGCTATAAGTTTAACAATGGTCATAAGGAGCAGTATCCTCCATGGAGAAGGAGGTTGGAGACCAAGATCAAGGCAGCAAGGAGAGGAGTTCGCCAGCTATCGGAATTGCAGAAAGGCGTGATGAAGAAAGGGGTACCTAAGACATACAACTCACTGTCCAGACCTGAGCCCTTAGAGACTGCCAAGCAAAGGCTCACAGCCCTGGCCACACGGCTGAAGAGGTACACCTGAGAAGTTGAAGCCAGGAGAATAAACCCAATGTTCTCCACTGAGCCATCCAAGGTGTACTCTCAGTGGCAGGGTAATAACATGAGAGCAGACCCCCCCAGGCTGGAGACTGAACAGTTCTGGAAGAGCATATGGGAGAAGGAGGCATCACACATCAACAATGCCCAGTGGTTGGTGGACCTAAGAGCAGACCACAGCAATCTCCCTGCACAAGACCCAGTAATCATCACAATGGCAGACATTCAAGAGAGGGTCTCAAGTATGAAGAGCTGGACAGCACCAGGCCCTGACATAATCCATGTCTACTGGTTAAAGAAGCTAACTTCACTCCATGAGTGCCTGGTTGGACAAATGAACCAGCTACTAATGGATGGAACCCACCCTGAGTGGTTAACTGAAGGCTGGACAGTCCTGATCCAGAAGGACCCTCAGAATGGAGCAGTACCATCCAACTACTGCCCAATAACCTACCTCTGCACAACATGGAAGCTCCTGTCAGGCATCATAGCAGCTAAGATGAGCAGGTACATGGCTCAATACATGAGCAGCGCCCAGAAAGGAATTGGTAGTAACACCAGAGGAGCAAAGCAC